TATATATATATATATATATATATATATATATATATGACGTTTACTTTTATCCTGGAACGAAATTGAATCGAATGATAAATTAGGCTTCTTGATTTAAGTATTTTAGTCAGTTTATTTGTTTAAGTATGTATTTAAAAATGGTTTGTTTATTTGAAATTAAGCACAAAGCTACACAATGGGCTATCTGTGCTCTGCCCACCACGAGAATCGAAACCCGCTTTCTAGCGTTGTAAGTCTGCTGACATACCACTGGGGGGCGTTTTGAAAATGGAAACAAATGATAAACATTAAAATTTATGTTTTTAATTTATTTTAATCACTAGGTAAAAATAGACGTAGAAACTTAGAAAAATAACATAAATTAAAAATTTACATTGTTCATTTCAATTTGAAAACTTCTTATGCATAAAAACAAAAATATTGAATTTTGGAAGAAAAATTATATAAAAGTTAAAAAAATAAAATAATGTAAGTTTTGTTAAATGTTTAACTATAACTGAAAAGTTTCATTAAAACAGATTGAGCCTCGAGTTTTAACGTCTGCTTTACCATGACTTTCTAAACTGTTGTTAAATAAACATTTAAAACTCGGCAAACAACAAAGTTTTGTACATTTTAATTTATATTAATTCTTGCTATAAACAATTCATTTCAGAAATACGCCTTAACTTTCAACTTTAGTTTTATCTGTTTAATTTTTTCGACCGACCACTCGTGTGGCCACCATCAGGTAACCATATAATAACTGTACACGGAGTCACATGCTAAGAGTCTTGATATTCTAGTGTCACGTATTCGAACTATTTAAGAAATGTTAAAACTCCTGCCACCTTATTAGGCGATTTATTTCACCCAACAAAACCGATTTTTTTTTTGATACTCTAAATCCTAATTTACGTTTATGTGAATTACTATAAATATACAAGATTCATCAATTATTATAGCTGTACTTGTTTCTTTCTTTTTCGGATAATTGTAAAGAAGAAGAAAAAACTGGAGAAGGTTATCTTCACTAGCCATCCCTAATCTTTAACTGATCGAAGAGAGGGAAGGCAGCTAAAAGAGCTTCCCACCTGGCTTCTCTAATTGAACAGTGGGATTTGACGATCACTCTGATAACGCACCCATGGGCCCAAAGTGCGGAGCATGGTTTTGCAGCCACGGTCTGACATTAACCACTAGGCCTCATGCGACCTCTAGCTATAATTGAACTACACTTAAAAACAGAGACAACTTGTAATTATATGATCATTTAACAGAACAGCAACTTTAAAAACTGTTACAGGACTAAACGTTCTCGAGTGAGGGTGAAGATTGCGTGCATGCACTGTTTAAGCTACACAGGGGGCTGGCTATCTGCGATATTCCCATTGCCGGAGTTAAGCCCACAATTTTAATGCTAGAAGCCCTCCAGCTTACCACTCTGCCACGGTGGGGGGAGGGGCGTTTATTTATATTTTTAGTCCGGTATTTATAATTCAATTAATATTTAATAGTGTTCGGTTGCACATATGATTTGAAAACAAAATACTCACCCAAAACTATACTAACAACCAACAAACAACTTTATTCAAACACAACATTAGTTACAAAACGTTCACGACATTACTACATATTGGTTAAAAAAAAACCGCTATGAAATAACATTAAAACACAACCATAAAAAACCCACACCGCAAAATAAATATGGAAGTATATATATATTGCATATAATTACGTTTTTACTCACCTAGGTGGTGCTCTACGTGCATAATCAAGTCACCATTTACATCAATATAAACGCAGCAATAGTAATTATCGCCTAAATCCTAAATAAGAACCAATTAGAAGTGAAATACTAAACCTAATCTTGTTGATCTAAATATATTCGAAGCGAAAATCGCACACGAACAAATACAAAAAACTTTATGATAAAAATTATCCTAGGAAGATTTCACTTATTTTGGCGCGTACTTGGGAGAAAAAACAACAAAACAGGTTGGTCTATTAGCAGAATATCTCACTAACTTCAACTATGTCATACAATAACTTGGTAGTCTTGGCCAAAACTCGACGTTTATTTATATTATTGAGACGTTTTCAGATTTGAACAATTCGTAAGTATTAACATTCAATATTACACTACCTCAATCCTACAAATTATCTTATAACCTATCAATATCTTTGAATAGCCTCTTCATTTCTAATTTCTTTTCGTTCGTCTTGAGATTTTTAAAAAACTATGTTATAAAATTATAAATAGAAGTTATACAGATATATATATATATGTTCTACGTAAAAACGGAAGTAGCAATTATTGGAATAATAGATTTGGCAAATCTGCTCCTTCGTTATCAATTATTAGTATTACGTTAGTATTAGCCCAGCTACTTTAATCATCAATCCTACTATCACACAAAATAATTAATGTTTAGTTACGAT